TGGAAAATTATTTGTTTGCCCTTCCATGCAAGAAGTGCTCAGAGGAAGTATAATTTGGGTAATTCCCGTACAGATGGTACTTATTACACCCTATTTTAAACCATCTCTTGGCATGCATGAGTTAGGCTAATGTCAAGTCCAGTCCTCTAAATGCAAGTCTTGGTACTCCTGCAATATTCTGGACTATGTATATACATCTCAGATAGATCAGTCCCATGCTGCTGCCTTTCTCCTCGTTACTTGCACAGTGTTTGATCTCGGACCCTATTCACACTAAGCAATTTTGTTGCGCGATTTCCACTCACAAATCGCTCAATGTAGCTCGTCCAATGGAGCTGTTAACATCTCACAGCTCAATGTCGCCTGTAGCTTGTTGCTCGAACATGGCCAATTTTTCCAGCTGATTTTGTGTGATTTGGGCCCAATAGACTTTGATAGACTGCTATAAGAAGCGCTACGTAGTGCGACAAAATGTGCACTGTAGCTCAATGTCACTCAGCTCAAATCCGCGCTTTCTTTTATGTAGCTCAGTGTGAATGGGTTCTTGTACACCTTTATGAACACACTGGCTTAATGTTTAGGCTGGGTTCACACCTATGCGTATCGAATATGCCCATTTCGTGCCTCGCGATTCGCGCTAGAAACCGCGCGGCAAACGCGCGTTTCCGAGGGCTACCTGGCTGTATCCCAATCGATACGTGCGGCAAATACGCCCCAAAGAAGCTCCTGTACTTCTTTGGGCGTAGGGCGTTTTGTAGCGCGTTCATACGGCCTGTAATACGCCCAAGTGTGAACCATACCCATAGGAAATAATGGGATTTCGGTGTTTGAGCGTTTTGCAGAACATAGGAACGCGCTACAAGACGCCCAGGTGTGAACTCACCTATTTTGTAGCTAAAGATACTAACAGACATGAGACTCCATGTGGGAGGATGAGATGCCATCCTAAGTGTCTTATGTAGCTGACTGATTTACCATAGGACTCCTCCTCTTGGTAAAAGTTGAATTGAATGTTGGAACCAGGAGAACTAAAAATAAAGAAGTTCAGCACTATGCAGTAATTCCACCATCTACCAAAATAAGGCAAATTACATAATATACATACCACACATTAAAATCCAATGTGAAGTGTCTTCAACCTTTTATAAAGTGCACATGTGTAGTACAGAGCTCCTATATTTATATAATTTTTTTTATTTAATTTTTGTTAGTATTAAATGAACTATGCCATTTGAAGCTGCTCCTAGATATTAAACTCTATTTGAAAGGGTCAGACAACTCAGATGTGTGTTTATTACCGTGGTATAACTCTCAGTGTAAATATATGTGGACTGTGTTATAAACTATTGTTTTCTGCTAGTGATGAGGTTTCCTGCTTTCATATGTACCTGTAGGATATATG